CTAGAAATGATTTTTCAAAACATTCTACTATCAGGTGGTGTTAGTGATAAATCCTGTTAAGCTCATCTAGATATTACGTATCAAAAGACCATTACTAGAACTGTTTAAATACTAGGCCAATTAAGAGATTAAAAAATTCCTTTGATCAGAAATCAGATCTCTGACCCTTAAATGTTTGGATGCTGCTGAACAGCATTTGCCATTAAAAAAAATCAGTAAGAATGTAAAGATACATTTCATGTGAATATTACTGCATATGAATATGCTTTTGAACACATACCTGACTATTTCACCTTCAGTAAAGGTTTTTACTTTTTCATTTATTATGAACACATTTTAATTCATTTGCATTTTTAACCTTAGCAATAACTGTCTACAGCCCAGAATAGATGTGGGTTTTTTCTAATTCATGGCATAGAGGTAAATACTCTTTTTTTATCTGAACCAAACTTACTCTAAGTAAACAGAAATCTTTCATCATCTTTCCTGGGCTACATACAATGGCTATACAGGTTTATTCTTAAGTGGTAATTCTGAATAAAACTATCATTATGTTTTATACTTTAGAGTACCTGATTAAAAAAAAAAACAGACAACAACCCTCATTATTTTACTTGGAATTCTCTTTTGATAAATACAATGGATGCAGTTACATTTAGTGAGAGTAAATGCTGCTTATTACCAAGAAGAGTAAAGCCCTTTGATGGCTTGTTCCTGATCACTCCATCGAGCTGGGTTTTCATACTTGCAAGCACGTCCACCACAGGCCATAGAGCACTGCATGTGACTGGGAATGACATGGCGAAGGTGCTCCCCTACCTTGGTGTACTTTGCTGCTGGACGCCTCGAACTTCCTAGGACACAGGCAAACACAAGAAGCTCAAGACATGCATTTCTACCATAGAAACATCAGTTCAAACTTCAATCAATGAAGTTACGAATAGCGTAAATATGTAGAAGACCCTTTGCAATTAAAAAAAAAGTCACTGTCCTCTTCTACCTGAAATTGAAAATATTTGGTCATATACTTGGTGTGTGTGCACATGTGCTGCTGTTTTATCTGTTCTAACTGAGCTGTCGGAATGAAAAGCATTTATTATTCCTTGAATAAGGCCTCACAGAATCATTCTGGTTGGAAAAAACCTTTAGGATCGAGTCCAACCATAACCTCACTTACCAGCCATTAACCCAATTCGACCAAGTCCAGTCCACCATGTCCCTCAGCACCACATCTACACGTCTCTTAAACACCTCTAGGGATGGAGACTGAAACACCTCCCTGGGCAGCCTATTCCAGTGTTTAACTACCCTTTCAGTAAATTTTTTTCTAATATCTAATCCAAATGTCCCCTGGCACAACTTGAGGCCATTTCCTATCACTCATTACTTGGGAGAAGTGATCACCCCCCCACACTCCAACCTTCTTTTAGGTAGAATCAGTAAGCAAAATATAAAATACAGATGAAAAAAAAATAATCAAACCCAGTACTTTATGCGTATATATAAAATATATTTAACAGAGCAAAAGCATATTAATGTAACACCAAGAAAATACCCAGAACTGCCAATAGTCTTAATGAAAAATACTTTACTTTTTTTTTCAGGAAAAGTTGCATCCAGCTCCTCAGGGCTGAGAGATGACACGGCCACCATGACCCGGTGAGTGGATGAGGAAAGCACCTCGACAGCCGAGCTGCGGCGCCGCTGGAGGATGCGGAGCAGGGGATCGGAGGAAGAATGCCTCCGACCCTGGAAAAAGCTGCTAAAAATACTCACTGCCGAGCGCCTTCGGGGGGAGCCCTGCATGGCTGACTAGCCCCAGCGGCCGTCTGGGGAGGCACTGGTCAGAAAGCCAAGTTGCTGAGGGCTGAAGTTGGGGCGAGATGGGCATCCCTCCGTGTGCGCTCCTGCAGCTCGGCAGCAGGGGCTGAGCTGTCTCCATAGTAACCAACAATGAAGGAGCTGCTGCCAGTATCCTCAGGGCTGCTCCATTCTATAGGAATCGAGGCTGTTCGGGACAAACTGTTCTGCTGCTGATGGGAAGAGTTGCATTTCAAGTAGAGAATTTTGAAAACCGGGAGCAATCAAAACAATGGGAGTATTTAGTGAGTTGTAAATAACAGGCATTCATAATGCAGCAAGACACAAAATACTGGATTCAAAAGAACAATCCAAACGTAGCTGGAGGCTCTGCTTCCCCAAGAAACCTGTCAGCTCATTCATTATACTCCCCCACCTATTGGTTAACATTCCACAACCACCTCTCCTCCTCCACTTCGTTGCTCCAAAATCATTAGCGCTGTAATGATTGGGACTACTGTGTTCCTACTGAAATGCTTCAGTACATGATGAATTGTGGACTGTTTGCTCTGGACTGTTCATATCTTCTAACAAAACCCAATTTGTTATTCAAAACAAAAGGCTTATTTATTTTTTAGGGCATAGTTCTTCTATTAAGCAAAACTGTCAGCCCTACAGACTGAGATAAAGCAGATTACGGGGAGAAGAGGTACCAGATGAGTGCTTTAGGCTTTTGAAGGTAGACATTAGGTGGCAAATTGCCTCCCACTTTGCTTCCAGCGTGTTAAGAAAGAGAATGAGCTGGCAACACCCTCAAAAGCACAAAATTATCTTGCAACTATGTGGAGAAGAGACCATAATGCTAAAAAACTTGGTCTTCCCATTGACTGCAATTTAAAGAGAGAGAAAACTGGGGAAATCAAGAAAACTCCCCATCGTTTGTTCAGTAAGCAAGTTAATCCTAAGGATGTATACCACCTTTGGGCTGTATTTGACATATCCTTTTGTACTATGAAAACAGTAACTCTTACAGGGGTTATTGATAAAAATTAATCAGGCAGAAATCTACTGTTTCTTCCAGCTACTGAACAGGGATTGAGTGTGAATTTTGGATCCTGCACCCCCGCCCTTAGGGAGACACAGTAAGGTTTGCTGTAGACACCAGGCCTGGAAGGGAAGTTGTAAAATTGACTGTTAGCTGTTGTCTCAAAACGATTCAAATTCAACAGTAAAGCTGATATCAAGAGGTGAGTAACTATTGAAATGTGCTTTTAATGTGGGGGCTGGGTGGAAGAGAAAGGAAATGAAAAGGCTATTTCAATGTTACCTCTTCTAGGAAACATGAAGAAGTTTTCTAATTAATTATAATGCTTTCTTATCTTTATTTTTCTCTTCGTCTTCTGAGAAACTTTTCTTCAGTATTTATCAAATTATAGCAGAGCCAGAAATGAGCAAAATAAAACACTGCACATCATTATTGTCCTATTGAGTCTAGCAGGGCTTGCAAGTATCCATCAAAAATAGTCAGAAAGAATGAAATCTCATAAGAGTTTAAATACTTTATTAGAAAGGGGAGTTTTGTTGAAGGCTTGTTTTCAGAGCACTACACAGTTTCTGAACATAAAAATCACAGAGTTTCTTCAATTAAGAGACCAGACATGAAATTTACAGAAAAGCTCAACATATTAACACATCATAGTGATGATAAAGTGATGCAGTTTGGGTTTGTAACAGCCATCTCATGCTTATATTTGTGGGTAATATTTCTGGGTTGTTGTTTTTTTTTAATTTTCTAAGGAAAATATTTTTCTTCAGAATTTCTCTAAGTATTTTTATGAACAGCATAGCAAAGAAAAATTATTACCTGAACTCATGTTTGCAAGATACACACTACTCTCAAGCAACGAAGAATATGGTAGCTCATTTTGCAGCAAAACTCCTGCAGCCATTGCAGTACCTGTTGAAACAATAATATCTTCACTGAAAACCTACAACAGAAGCTCAAAAATTCAAAATAAAGTGGAGTACCGGGCACCAGGTTATAGAGTTGTCCAAAGCTTAAGGTTTTGGACTATGGACTGTACTTCCTTTTTCTTGTGCATTCACCTTAAAATTCAACAGCTCCACTGTCCTAGCAGTTTAACAGCTCAGTCAATTGCATCTTTCTAGCTCTAGAGTTTAGCTGATTGTGTATTTTATGTGTGTTTTATATGGACAAGAATCAATCAACTGAAAGAATCCTGATTTTCTCAAATTTTAAAAAGTAAACATATGACCAGAGGTCTTGAACTGGAATCTTAGAAGGGGCAGTTTCAGCACAGTTAATGCCATCATCATGGCAGCATAATTTCTAGATTGCACCATTTATCACTTGAGTTGACCTTGCCAGACTACTCACAAATCATACACCTCCTCTGCTCTCTGTTTTCAGTCTGCAGTAAAGTTTGATGTCTCATATATGAAGATCCTCCTCTAACAAAAAAGTTGAACAAAAGACTCTAAGCAGAAAACAGTTTTTTCTCATGCTTTAATTTAGTTTCTAATACAAGCTAAGCCCTGCTCTGAAGACCTTCTATCAGACAAAAAGAAAGCTGAAGAAATGTAAGCATATTCCATCAGTCACTGTGGTGTTGAAATAAACCACCTACCTATATCTTGAGTGGAAATTCCTGCCCAGTATAAGATTACCATTCTGCTTCTCTTATTTCTATAGGAAAATAGTTGCAAGTGTATCAAAAAGCATTTTTGTTAGCAAACTTTGTATGTCTTTGTTGGATGTGTAACTGTTGGAACGTTTCTAAATAGACAAACCCCAGGTCTCAAATTCTGTTAAACCAGTATTATGAGGCAGCAGCATAACCAGTTTTAGAAGACAGATTTGCTACACAAAATCAAAATAATTATAGTAGGGAAGAGATGGAGTTAACAGTTCTCTGCTGTGTTGAAGTGGAGTGTTAACTGCTTGCTCTTCATTGTCCACCTTTTATCTATAATGTTGCATAATGGTTTCTAAAGTAAGTATTTAAATAAATAAAAAAATAATTTCATTCATTCACATATTGTATGATCTACCACATACTTGAATAAATTGAAATTATTCTTCCAACAATACTAGTGGACTTTATCCACATCAAAGTCCCTCAGAACAGCTCAGTCCTTTTCAAGACACTGGGAACAGAATAACATATAAATAATCCTTTAAAACTGCTCTGTCAGTCTTAACAGGTGAGAATTATATTTGTCTGTGAAAGCCAAAAGGTCTTTGGAAACTTCAGTGATGCTCAGAAATGCATTTCTAATGTAAATATATTAATAAGAATATTAATTAAGAGGAATCTTAATAAAGATTAAAGAGTATCTGGAGCATTGGATACTCAGCTACTTGAGCATCTCACTCTGCACTTTTAAAAGTCAATCGCTTAATAGTCAGGAATACTTGCATATAATTGTACTGTCTTCAGAGAAGTTCCAAAACCTCTCAGTTTTTTTCCAGTGGACTTCAAAATAAATAAGGGATGGCTTCCATCATCAGAGGAAACTTTGTAGCTGAAAAAGTAACTTCATTTTATCCCTAGAAATTCTTTTTAGAGTCAACAGAGTAGAATTAACAAAAATTGTTGGCTTACATTTCTCAGAAAGCTCTTACAAAAAAAAATCTTAATAGCTTGTCCAGATAACACACACACATTTGAAAAAGACACGTCTCATCACATGGGCAGCAGAATCACCACCAGTAGGACTTCTGTTTTCCTATTTCCTTGTATTCAAGTGTTAAAAAAAAAAGAGATGAAATATCAGAGATATTGTTATCACCCAAATTTTTTAAATTATTTTTTTTTAAACCAGAACTCAGGCTGACAACATCTCTTAACTGAAAAGGGAAGGGATGGAGATTAACGCAAAAGGTCTACAATATTACAAAATATTAGCAGAATCGTTCTAAACAGCAGAGGTAAGCATATGTATTTGCTGTGTAACAAATACATATTTTTATGTACCAAATACATATTTTTATGTAACAAATATATATTTTGTGTACCAAATATATATTTGTATATTTGCTGTGTAACAAATTGGACCTCCCTCAATTTTATTTCAGAAGAGACATCAAATCACTGTTTCTGAGTTCTGTAAAACAAGCCATTTCTACTAACGGACTTAAATATTTTGTCTGTTTGCCTTTCAGTTTGTCAAATTGGCTTCTGATGTGTTCTAAATTCCAGTGTGATAAATGTGCGAAATTCCTTGATATTTATTTATATTAAAGAGTTAAGTAAGATTGTGACAATAAACTTTACAGTGATATTGCACTCCCCTGAGCAGATAAAAAATGTTGCAGTTTAGGACAGGAAATAAAATTTCAGTGTTGATGTCACTGGCAAGGGGTATCACGCACCTGCACAGATGAAAAGAATGTTAAAAGCAAAAGCATTGCTTGGCTAAAAGAAACAACTCTCTGCTGACTCTTCAACCTACCAGATATTCTTGGTTTTAAAAGGTTCTCTTCAGCATTTTGTTCATCACATGAACACTGGAAAAAAACAAGCCTGGAGCATTACTCCAGGTCATGGTCCTCATTAGCAGCCTGAGGCAACACAGTCACATGCCTCGTGGTGATACCACCCTAATCAGATCCACTCTTATCTCTGACATGCATTTCTATTGCCATGACAGCAAAGAAGCTTTGAATCCCTGTTTCCAAATTCAAGAAATGGAACAGTGCATCAGGTGATGCCCCACTTCTTCATCACAGGGAGCAATGTGGCACACACTCATGAAACCAACAGAGAGTAAAGCATGGCCTGCGTCCTTGGCTGACTGAAGTGAATAGCAGCCCAAGGAAAAAAAGGACTCTTGAAACCATGATACATTGTCAGATGTCAGGCACCAAGGAGGATATGTCAGGAGGCCCCCTCCAGGTGTGGATTTTATACCTGTTTTGATGTCTGCATGTGTTTTTGAGGGGGGTGGAGTGTTTCCACTTTTGAGCAGAACAATTTCTAACAGAAGGGACATAAGACTTTGTGTTTCCT